CAATATCAAAGGATATCTTAGTATACACAAATGCTTTCCCTTGTCTTTCAGAGGAAAACCTATTACCGAGCTTGTATTTTAAATCAAGGAGTATCCATCATTTTTAAAATGTTCTTTATATATCTAAAGGTGCATCAAAGTTTTTAAATCAAAATCTGAAAGAAAATATTTTTTTCAGATGAGTACTTAAAGCCTAGGATCCTGACAAGACCAAGGATATTGACAAACGCTGCTATTAAAAAATTTCAATAGTTCTGAGGTTGCAAAACATTTGTCTGACACCAGGGCTTGCTTCACAGTCTACAGGTACCTACAATGCAGTTCGGTGGACTCAGTGGTAAGGAGCTGCGCTGTCAACTCAAATCCACCAGCTACTCTGCAGGAGAAAGATAGGCAATCTCCTTCTGTGCAATTTACAGCCTCCAAAAACCTGCTGGAGGGTCAGGAATGAGTCGATTCTGGGTAAACAATAATGAGTGAGTGAGTGATTTTTATTGTATAGATGAGACTGTGAAGGAACTTTACACGAGGTCAAAAGTTAGGAATAGGAACCACAGTTTCATTAAACCAAAATCTGTTTTCACCAACAATAGTGTAAAACCTAAAGGTTCAAAGCCTAGACTTACCTGCGTAACTGTTAGCAAGTCACTTATGTTTCTTGAACTCCCATTTAGAAAACAAATCACCAATGTGTAAAACATAAATGCTGCTGATTGCCAGCCACATGTTCTGTGCCTTAATGATATAACCCCTCCCTCAGTGGTTTTACAGGTTATCACACTTGGTTGCTAAAAGAAAGGATGGTTTGCCTCTAGTTAGAGGTAACCAAGTAGAAGGTTGGGTAATCTTCTCACCAATAACTCAGACATGGAAAACATGGTTTTGAAAGCAAAAACAGTTGCAAAGCTCAAATAATGTAGCTAATGTCACTGAATTGCACATGCTGGAACTGCACATTCTCAACAACAAAAACCTAAACACCTCAGAAGCACAACTCTACAAGGATACACAGGGGCTGCCAGAATCAGTCCATCCCACAACCAGTTTACAAACTTTACAGGAGGGGGAAAAGTACTTAAAAAAAAAGTGCTTCCACCATTTTTCCTTAAAAACAATTACTATACTGTGCACTACACATTAAGAATCACTGTTAAGAAAGAACCAAGACTAAACGTTGTATGTCTACAACATCAACTAAAATCAGTCTTAAAACCTGGAAAGAAGTTAACTAAACAGTATTTCAGTATGAACTTCCTAAATATTTTCAATCCATAGGCCCTGTAAAAATTTTGACTAGGCTCTCTTCACAAGTGTAGCATACTTTAGAAGCAGGACTAAGGAAGAAGAGCTTAGCAGCTGAAAATTGCATGTCTCTTCACAAAGATGGTGTACACTGAGACAGCAGAGCTGTATCATATCATAGTTTTGGAAAATCATTCCACATAAGAGTCTGCTTTATAGGTCATAAGATAGTAAGCTTTCATAAAAGATATAAGCTGTCACCTATTGTTCATTCATTTTTTTCTCTTTCATCCTCCATCCCCTCAAATTATAAATTATAAACCTAGGGAAATAGGTTTCCTTTTTTAAACAATTACACATGTAATATCTATCATCTACTTGCATGTAACCTGCAAAAATGTTTATTTTTTTAAATTTTGTTTGTTTTTGTTTCCCTCTCCCTCTAGTTTCATGTTAAAGTGCCAAGATTAATTCTTACTGTGTGTAAACCACTGTTATTTTAATTAGTTGTCTTACTGTCCTTTTGGGATTGATTTATATCACTTAGTATAATCTGTTTTCATTTCATTCTTCTTATGCAGTATTTTATTAATTCTTGCTCATTTTTTAGTGATGTATATTCCATTGTTGAAATGTACCACTTTCTTAAACCATTTCACAATTGCTGGGCACTTGGGTAGTTTCCAAATCTTTGCTATTCTAAATGGAGCTGTGATAAACATGGGTGTGGATGTGCTGTGTCACAGCTCCTCCTTCCTTAAGATGTTTATCTACTATTGAGAATTAGATGTTTATCTATGAGTGAGATTGCTGAATCAAATGGTATTTCTATTCCCAATTTTCTGAGGAAGTACCAACCTGCTTTGAGTGGTTGCAGGAATCATTGCGCCTGGGCAGAAGCAGAGGCCAAACAATAGAGAAGTGATTCGCGGGAAAAAGCCTTACCATGCCCACAGGTATGCCAGAGACTGCGCCAAGAAAAATAGAATCTATACACCAGTTCTACAGGACACATCAACCTCCCTCAGAGACATTACCACTGAACTTAAGAGACACTGTTCACAGCATAAGAAATTGTAAGCAGCTCACGTATTTGGAATCACAGAAGCCAAGAAAACTTCAGATACAAGCTGTCAGATTAAGGGTTGGACAATGGAAAATAAATGCTGAAGGGATTCGGTAGCACTGAAGGGGTATCCTGGTGGAGGGTGGAGGTGGGAAATAAGTGGGTCAACACATTGGGCCAAGGGCAGGGACAACACTGTAACTAATGGTTAACTCCA